ATTACATTTTTATTTAAAATTTTTAATATTTTTATTTAAAATTTTTTGTAATTTCTTCAAGCGTTATCGTGCTCATCGTCTTATTGGAAGCAAACAGGCTTATGCTTTACTAGTGCTACAAGCTATTTGCAGCAGCCACTTAGCGTGTGCAACGCTACTTTTTCGCCTAAAAGCAAAATAAACCGCATAAACGTTGGGGAAGCATTGAAAATAAAGTAAAAAAAGACGGCAAAAGTAAATGTAAAAATTAGTTCGTTAGCAAATAAGCAAATAAAAATTTTATTTAAATTAATTAAATGAAATCTTTCGCTTAGAAAATCGATCAACGATAATCGATCGATCAACACGAAAACGTGTTGGATTTTAGCATTTCTTGAGAATTTTTGTGGGATCACTAAAACTAATGTCGTTTGGGTATCGTCATTGTAAATGCATATAAACAAATTATATTATGGACGCTAAATTAGTTACAAATGATAAATGCAAATGGTGGTTAATTGAAAACGTAGATCAAATAATTATCAATTAAATAATATGCTGTAGTAAATGTAAATAATTAAAATATCATAAAACGGTAAAAATATAAAATCGGGATTCATATGTTGGGGCGCTTGGGCTATAATAACATGCGACATGCAAATCGCAATAAATAACGGCATATATTTCGTTACAATTTCAAGATCATTACTTTACATAACACTTTTAAGTAACATTTGGTAGTCGAAAAAGTATTTTCGTATTTTAAAATATAGCGAATTGCTCCATTATTTCTACTCATTTTTAAACAGCGGTAACTTTTTTGCAACTTCCGCGAATTGAAAATTTTTATTAATCAATTAATTCACAAGATACGAAAAAACTTTTTCGACTACCCAAAATAAATTGTTGGCTGCAACTAAGCTTAAAAATTAAAAAAAAAACTCGCTTGTGTTGCATAATCCTACACAATATGTTTATGCATGTACTATATATACACCCACTACTCCTCTCTTGCAAATGCAACTGGTTGCAGAAAGAGTAAATATGTTTGCGCATATTTATCATTCTATCCCCCCACACATAAATATGTACGCCGCTGCATGCATTTGTACACAGTTGCTGCACTTTGCAGCGCTGCCTGTTAGATTTAGTGCAATGCCTTGCCATTTATTTTGTGTCACATTTACTTCTTGCCATTCTTCCCTTTTCGTTTTTGTTTGCTATGTTGTTGCTTCTCCGATTTCGTATGMGCGCTCGTGCTGCTGCCGCTGCTGCTGCTGGTGCCTGCTGAGCTGGCTTCTGATTTCAGCAGCACAGCTCTGGGGATGCCGCTTTTAATCACATTCGAAATTGTGGTAGTTGTGGTGGTGACAGTGCCGTCAGCATCGGTGGTGGTCGTCGTTATAACACTCTCGCCCGTTTGCTGATCGAATATCTGCTTGTGATCGCCGCCGGCGTGCAGCAGTTTATTGAAAAGTGACTCGCCGGACTCTTCGTCTTGCTGCTCGTGGTGCGCTTGCTTATGCTCTGGCTTGCGTATCGTTTCGGTGATAATGGTTTTCTTGACACCATCGTCACCGATGACAGTCTTGGTTTCTACAGTGTGCACAACATTTTGCTTCGGTGGCTTTCTGAGTACTTCATCGTCGTCGTCTATGACTGCTTGGCTGATTGCCGTCGCGATTTCATCGTCATCGGCCAGCAAGTTTTCTACCGATTTACGTAGTTGTTTTGTGATCTGCTCGAGCTTGCGTTGTTCGGCTTGTAGTTTTTCGACTGTATGTTCGATGTCCTTGTCGACGTCTTCTTGTGCGGCGTCACTTTGCTTGCTTGCTTCGGTCTGATCCGCCTCTTTCATAGACGTGTATGTTTGTGATTTTTGCAATTTCAGCGTTGATTCTGTATTGGGATTCTCAATGACTTGACAACCATCGACAAAAGTTATATTTACAGCCTCATCATCATCGTCAGCTTCGCCGTCTTCGTCCGAGTCACTGGAATCTAAAGACTCTTCCTCTTCATCCTCCTCGTCAACGTCATCGTCCTCCTCACTTTCTTCATCATCGTAACCAACTGCTAGCTTCTTAATTGTATTCCTATTACTGTCTCTTATTAGCTCTTGCAGCAGACGCTCATTACCGTTATCATCATTAACAGCTCTAGCTGCAGAACGGCTTATCCCGCTGCGGTTTGCACCATGTGATGCGACATAGTCAACCATGTATTGTTCATCGTCAGAATCCCCATAGGCGAGTTCGTGCTGCGCCTCCTCATCCTCCTCCAGACTCTTCTGCAAATTCAATTTAACACGCTCGTTCTCCAATAACTCCACCAACACATTCTTCATTTTGGCATTCAATGAGAGTTCCTCCGGCGGCCGCTGTTCCTGTTGTTGCCGCACTGTCGGCATGACAAACGTGTCGCTACGTAACACTCCTGTCGCTGCAGCTGAAAATTCTTCAGCCTCATCGTCATCATCAGGCTCATCTTTCGCTGCTTCGTCATAGCCACCTTTCCGCTTGGCAATATCTTCGATATGGTCATCATATGGCTTCGACCGCAAGCTCTTCTCTATTTCATTGTCGAAAATTGGATATTCGCGTTGAGCAGTGCTTCCCACAGCCAAACTTTTCACCTGCCCCTCGCCGGTTATCAGTGGATTAACCACCTCTACAATAGTGCTTGCTGCGTTTATACTGTGTGCTGGATAGTCGGTTTTCGTTGTTGCGCGTACTCCAGCTGGCACAACAGGCGCTGTTACGACGACTTCCTTAGCCAGTGTCTGGCGTATTGTTATCGGCACGGGCTGTATACGCAGCTTTGATATGGACGACACGCTATCAATGGACGAAGGACCAAACATGCCAATACTGTCGAAATCGTCAGATGGACCGGAATCATCGTCGGTGCGTAGGAAGAGTTTCTCATTATTTGCATGAACAGTCACAATGGAGGCGGCATCCTCTTCATCTTCGTCCTCCTCTTCCTCCTCGCTGTCGTCATCGTCATCCTCATCCTCATCCTCGTCATCCTCATCATCGTCCTCTTCATCTTCCTCATGGTCATCCTCATCGACAGTGTCCAGTAGCGCAGTTTCCCTCAACAGCTCCGGCGGCTCCTCATCCTCTAACGTCTCATCGTCGAGCGTTGTGATTGCCTGCGTTACGGCTGCCAGCACTGTGGCTGCCTGCTGGTTCGCACTTGCTGCATGTTGCAATGATGCAAATGGATTGCTAATTTTGTCCTTTCCGCCATCGTCACTGTCGTTATCATCGTTTTCTGGATCTTGCAACTCTAATGAGATTATCTTCTCCTGGCAAGTTTCCACCTGAATTGCGTGGTAAGTAGATGGAAATATTCGGATTCGCTTTAAGTAATTTTTCATTTCAGATTTTTTTTTTTTTTTTTTTTTTTTTTTGATTTTCTGTTTATACCCGTTAATACTTGTAAAGTACGGACATGCTAAGGCAGTTAGTTCGGTAATTTAATAATGTACAAGTAGTATGAGTAAGTTGTAGTGTACATAGTAATAAAAGTGGTGAACACCTGCTCTAGTATATGCTACTTTTATATACACATATGTACTGACAAAAGTCAGCTCTGAATGTGACATAAAGCTTAAGGTCTTCTAACTACAAGCAGGCAAATGAAAATGTTATATAATAAATATATCGAAGCATAACATACGGGTACATTAAAATACATTTAGTTAGATTAGTACATATAAAACGTTCTGGCAACACCAAGTTATGAATTGCATGCATTTAAAACTAATTTGAAAGTACACAGATATTAAGGCCACACCAAGCAATGTATAATCGATAAAGTAAGTAATGCAGAAATATTGTGAAAATCCTGAAAATTATAATTTTGACTTGTGATTTCAGCAAATTTTGGTGAAATGAAAGATATGAAAGAAATAATAATGTATCAAAAGTATTGTAACTTAGTCGAATTCAAAGGAATGTAAATTTCATACAACAAAATCTCCATCTCATGAAGCTATTATCACGGGATAAAAAGAATTTTGAGAAAAAAATGGTTTTCACTAATCTTTCTTTTCCAAAACCGTCTTACATGTTTACAAACCTATATCACAAGTTAGAACTTCAAGAATCCAAGACTCAATTAGTTCGGTTTTCACATTCTTAGGGGGTTACATGGGCTTACGGGTTTCAGAAAATCTTTTTTTATTGTCTTATTAAGTTCTACAACACCGTTCTACAATCCAAGTAGTAGTTTCGGAAAAACAGCCTTGAAATCTCTCGGCTTGAGGCCAGTTAGGCTAAGTGCGCCGTCTTTAAACGCTTTTTTTTCTCCAAACTGAGTTTCGAAAGTCGGTTGGCAAGATTGCTAGAGAACTACTCAAACGATCTTCATGAAACTTTACACAGGTCTTTGAGATACAATTCTTAAAGACTTGGACGAAGGATTTTCTTTACAATTATAACTATTTGAAATAAAATTGCGACATTTTTTCTGAAATAATTTTCACTGAAATTTACATTTTTTTACGACAATGCCTACCAAAGATGCTCCTTCGTCTCTGTTTTTTTTTCACTTTAGATGATCCTGTAAGAAGTTGTTCTGCCGACGTGGGCGCATCTTTTTTCCGAGGCGTCACCGGAATTGGCGTCGCAATGGTTGAGTTTAAAATCCAATAATTGCAGAATTTCTTTATTAATAATGTATGTTTGTAACAATAAAAAATTCAAAAGTAAT